AAAGCAGTTAAGCAGGAGGTCCCCAATAGCATAGACAATAAGTAGCAGAGTCAGAATGGCAATCCAGGCACACAGGCTCCAGTCTGCACTCTTACCCTGGAAGGTGTAAATATCAGTTTTGTAAAGTTATATAAGATTTGTTGCAATAATCACAAATACACATAAATCTGAAGAGAACAGAGCCATGACCTAGCAGGCCCCTGCCACTTCCTTCCCAACTGTTATCATTCATTTGCAGCTACTCTTACTTAATCAGTGGTGATTTCTCCATCCATCATTCAATCTGTATTTTTGCATCTTATTCACATGGATACAAACTTTGCCCCAACACAGGCTCTTCTCTTTGTTCTGGTCAGATTTTGAAGGTTCTTATTGTCTCCAGACCCACACATTTCAGTTCATATCCTTCCAGCTACTGCTATCAGCTGATGTTACCACTCATTTTTTCTTTCCTTGATTATATTTCTCCTGTCATCTTTGATAGATTTATTAAAAACATTTATTTTGCAACTCTTATGTACCAGAGAAGGAGGATACTGAATAAGATAACATCCTTATCCTTAAGAAGTTCAAAGTCTGGGGCTGGGGTTGTGGCTCAGTTTAGAGTGCTTGGTTCATGCATGTGAGGCACTGGGTTCTATCCTCAGCACCACTTAAAAATAAATACAAAATAAAATAAAGATATCCATCTACAACAAAAAAAATGTTTAATAAAAAAGAAGTTCAGAGTCTAATGGAGAACACAAATGAACAAGCTGCCATCTTTCCAGTTTGCCATATGGCAAACACCATGCTTAGTGTTTTACATGCACCATCTTATGGGATAGAGGAAACCAGGCTCAAGTGTGTGGTCAAGTGTGTGGACTTCAGAGTCAAAAGAGCTTGGTACAAATCCTACTTCTACAATTTCCTGCCTGTGTGAGCACTCTATCCCTCAGTTTCTTATTTAAAAGTGGACAAATAATGGTGGGTTATAATCAAATATTGTAATATATGTAACGTTCTTAATATAATGCTTAGCATATTAAAAGTAAAATAAATATTAGTGATTAATATTTTTTTCTACCAGTACCCATTTTGGGGGATAAGGAAATTTGAACTTTAAAGAGGTTCTATAACTTTCTCACAGGCATATTGTTACTAAGGTGGAGAGGTTTAAAGTTTTCTGTTAGCTACTCCCCTCTATCTATTGCCTTTATGGTTGGATGGATACATGCCTTTATAAAATAGGACTAGTGTAGTGTTGGAGCAGAGATGAGGAGCATCTAACCCAACTTTGTAGGAAAGGAGTTAGGGCAGCCTTCTAGAGCATGTGGAGCTTCAGTTAAGACAAACAAGGGTTGGGCTGAATGGAAGACAGGCGAGAAATAGAAGCTAGAGGTAAGAGCAGGGAAGGACCATTTTATCCAGAGCTAGAAGCTTGTCAAAGGTACAGTGAAATGAGAAATAGCTGGATCAGGGAACTGAAGAATGGATAAGGATGAAGACAAAGGATTAGTCATGCCTTGCTCCATCTGGGTTGATGGGACTGCTGGAAGCTTTTCTCTTTCAGTTCACCCTCCAGTTTTCCTTGTAGGTCTGAATTAGGTCCAGAGGGGTTAATTCTCTCTGTACTTCTTCTAGTTCCTTATCACAAAGATGAGATTTTCAATACATGTCCAGGGAACTGCAGTTTCTATCTCCGTTCTCTTGTCCCCCTCTTAGTCTGTGATCTGTTTATGGATGGCACCCACCATGCAGAAATTCCTTCTTAACCACCTGCTATGCATTTGTCTTCTATGCATTTAATACCAATTCTTCTCAAATCTTTGTATCTCCAATCTGTGCCCCTTCTTGAACTAGCAAGTTCCATATGTTTGTTTACTATCTACTAAGTAAAAATGAGTTGGTTGTTTTCTCTAAAATAATTTCCTTTAAAATTTAAATGACATTCATTTGGTATTAGAGTTCTAGGGTTTGGTCAACAAATCTTTCCATCTCTGTGATGATTTTATTATGGACCCAGCCACCAAATAATTCCACCACCCCCCCTCCAGGTGGAGGTCTTTTCCCTATGAATTCAACTGAGTCCAGCCACAGAGCATCCTATAGATATTCCCCCAAGAATATACTTATCCATCTCACAGGCCAGTGCTTTATTTTACTTGGGCAGGCCTTTCAGTAGGCCAGCATTTCCTGGTGACCAGATCACAGTGTGACATTTTGTGCATGCTGGTAAGGGCATTCTTACTACCAACCACCAAAACTGAGGAATGATCTTTCCTACCACCCTTCATTCCCACCTCTTATATAAACCATAGAATCTCCCTAACTATAACTTCACCAAGTTGAGGACAAATTTTAAATGCCCAGTCTTTCACTTTTAAGGACTCTGTCAATGAAACACCTAGCAAACATTCAGGCATTAATGATTGCAGTTTTAATTGTTGTAGACATGGGTGCTGAAGGAACATAGCATTATCCATTCAGGAGAAGCAACCAATTCAGGAAGACAATACCAACATACTGACCATGGACTTGTTCTTTTTCTGGTCTTGCTGTCTGTCATGTAATCAACACTTCTTGAAGGCTTTCTGTTTTTGAGTACATTCAACTCCCAGGAATTCTGGTGCTTCCACATGCTATGTATATTTGTCACAGCTGCTTTTTGTTTTACTGAACCACAGCTGCTCCAGCTGCTGTCATCCAGCTGCTGTGTTAGCTGTGTGTGCCATTACTGGCCTCCTGCCTGCCTGATTTCTAACAGACACCCCCATGTTCTAGCTGTGGCCTCCTGAAATGGCCAGATTACTGAACCCCACATCCCCTCATTTTTCAACCCTCTGTTAGGCTTGGTGATACTTTGCATAGCCTATCCCAGACTGTTTGTGTCTTCCAGAAATTCAGATCCTGTGATAGGTCTGACTTGCCACATGCTCTGGTTCTTGTATCTACCCTGCTGTGACTTACTATTGATTTTCAATTACTTCATCAATTGGAAAACTTACTTGAATCGAACAAAAAGCAAATTTCTAAAAGTAGAGAGAGTATAACAGTGGTTGTCAGAGACTGAAGCGAGTAGGAAGGAGGGGTGAGGGTGAGAGAATGGTCAGTGGTACAATGGTACAGTTAGGTAGGAGCAAGATGTTCTGGTGTACTATTGCACAGAACGATGGCTATAGATAGCAATAATGTACAGTATATTGCAAACTAGCTAGAAGAAGGGATTGTGAATATTTTGCCACAAAGAAATGATAAGTGTTTGAGGTGGTGGAAGATAATCATTACCCTGATTTGATCATTACACAATGTACACATGTATCAAATCTTCCAGCCAGGTGAGGTTGATCGTACCTGTGATCTAAGTGGCTCCAGAGGCTGAGGCAGGAGGATCTTGAGCTCAAAGCCAGCCTCAGAAACTTAGCAAGGGCCTAAGAAACTTAGAAAGACTCTGTCTCTCAATAAAAATATTTAAAAAGGGCTGTTTAAGGGCCCCTGGTTTCAATCCCCAGTAACGAATAAAAAATAGAAAGAGAAAGGTCACGTGCATGACCTTGAAAGAGCCCCCCCCCCAGCATCAAGCCAGTGCAGAGCACAGTCTTCATTCAAGTGAACTACCCCTCACTATACAGCCTGTGATACAGTTGTTGATTGGATTAGAATTTTCTCTACTTGAATCTGATGAAATAATAATAGTAATAATTAACATCTATTCTTTCATCTATTCAATAACTATTATTGAGTGCCTACTATGTAGCAGGTATATAATAAATCTATGTCTCTACCCTCATAAGAATTCACATTCTAGTAGAAAGGATAGAAAATAAACATTAAAACACAAAAATTCTTAATAGTATATTTATTATTAATATTATTATAATATTTAATATTATTAGTAGTAAATAATAATTTTAGGGAATTTTAGATACTACAAAGAAAATTAAACAAAACAGTAGGATAGAGAATACTTAATGGAGCTACTTAAACAAGAGCAACCAAGGAAAGCCTCTCTGAGGAAGTGTCATTTGAGCTGAGATCTTTTAAGAAGACAGCCATGCAAAGATCTGCGGAAAGTCCTTTCCCAGAGAGAAGGATTTTTAAAAGCGATTTCTACTCACTCCTCCCCACTGAATAAACCCAAGAAAAAAATCCCAAAGCCTCTCAAAGTGCACTGGGCTTAATAATTTTATAATCTTGATATTTTTTTGGTACCAGGGATTGAATTCAGGGGCACTCAACCACTGAGCCACATCCCCAGCCCTATTTTATATTTTATTTAGAGACAGGGACTCACTGAGTTGCTTAGCACCTTGCTGAGGCTGGCTTTGAACTCATGATCCTTCTGCCTCAGCCTCCAAAGCTGCTGGGATTACAGGCGTGCACCACTGCATCAGGCCCAAGCAACATATTCTTTTTTTTTTTTAATTTCTTACATACATGACAATAGTGGAGTGTATTACAATCATAATTATCCATTCACAGCACAATTTTTCATAACTCTGTATATAAAGTATGTTCATACCAAATTATGCCATCATACATGAGCTCTCTTATTATTTTTTTGCATTACAATTCTTAATACACATTTATACCACAATTTATCATATCTCTGTTTGTATATAAGATATGTTGACACCAAATTCACATCTTTATACATGCATTTTGTATAATGATGCAACATATTCTTAACCATTGCATTTACTGCCTCTATAGTAGATCACATAGTCTGAAGATGAAAGAAAGAGTTTGGTAGAAGTAGTCCTTGAAATATGACTTGAACATGCTTAGTGTTCTGTGGAGATTGAGGGAAGGGAGATGGTATTCCAGGTAGAAAAGCAAAGTACAGGACATAGAAGTAGGAACAAATAAAGTGACGTGGCTGTGTTAGAGAAGAGACCAATATATGTGAGATCATCTGTCTGCCTATTGCAGATCTGACAGTCCTGTTAGAGATCAACTCACATTTTCTCTTTTCTTACTCTTGAGAATTAACTAACCTGCTTTTTAAAAATCTCTTTTAGGCTCTTTGAAACACTTCAGTCACTCTTCTGGTCTGTATTTGGCCTTTTAAATCTCTATGTCACCAATGTGAAAGCCAGACATGAGTTCACCGAGTTTGTAGGAGCTACCATGTTTGGAACATACAATGTCATCTCCCTGGTAGTGCTGCTGAACATGCTGATTGCCATGATGAACAACTCCTACCAGCTTATTGCCGTAAGTAGCTTTGCTTTATCAGGGTCTTTACTTTGGTTTCAGGAGTGTGTGACATTGGTATGGAGCCCACTACAAGCTCAATGACAGTCTGGCTGTGTATAGTGGTGCATACCTGTAATCCCAGCTACTCCAGAGACTGAGGCAGGAGGATTGCAAGTTCAAGGTCAGCCTCAGCAACTTAGTGATATCATGTCTCAAAATAAAAACTAAAATGGGCTGGGATGTAGCTTAGTGGTAGAGCACTTGCCTTAAGCTACTTATTACCCTCATAGTTATTAGAGCACTTGCCTAGCATGTGTGAAGCCCTGAGCTCAATCCCCAGTACTCGGGGGGGGGGGGGGGAGAGTCTGTCTGCTTCAATGAACTTACATTAGCTTTCTCAATTGTTAAATTGATTTTATTTTTTCTAAGGTAATTCTGTTTGGACTCAATATATTGAATTTTGGTAATCTATACTAGGTTGTTTTAGTTAATAGAATTTTCTTGCTGTTAAAAATATTTTAATTTTTTAAATTTATTTTCTTGCCTCAGTAAGGAAAATTGATGGTATGAGCACAACTGGCTTCCCCATTGGGCACCTCACTTCCAGAGTCAATTCAGCCAATCTAGTTCTCTAAATTGGACAGCGGTATCTCCTGTCTCCTATCTTAGTGGTAAAGTGCCCCAAGTTTGATCCCCAGTACCAAAAAACATAAGTGCATAAGATTGTCTACTGGTATGCTTTAGATCCTAAGTGCTTAGGTAATAGAAAAAAAAAAGGGCTATATAATGGGAAAAAAAAATTAGAAGTTTAGAAACCAGGGACTTTAATCCTGATTCTGCCATGTATAATAAAGTGACCTTGGGTAATTTATTTTCTCTTCTTGGGCTTCTTTTTTCATCCCCAAACAGTGAGGGAGTTGCAATCAATGGTCTTTAACATTCTTGCCAGTTCTGTGAGTCTGTGTGTCTGCAGATGAACGAAATAGGCTCAGTAAGGTCCCTTTTAGCTCTGAAATTCTGTTGTGTTTGAAGTGGAATATAGTTTTGCTTCATTCCCTCACTTGCTTACTTCCTCTCTCTTTCATTCAAACCTAACTAAACCAAAGCCTCTGATATGATCTACACTTACTCCTAGCCTGTCTCTAGAAGGGGATGAGGGCAGACATGCAATCTTAGGGCTTGATTTCTCCACTTCCTATGCCTGATATCCTACCCTCCACCCTTGAACAAAGATGACAATATTCATGGTAATACAGTTGTAGTTTTATCACTACATGTTTGGCAGTGGATTGTTGAGAGCCACAGCCAAAGGGGCCCCAGCAAACTTCCAGCTGCCAGCAAACTTCCAGCTGCCGGCTGATGATTGGCTCACAGCGCCCCAGCAACATCTACCTGATTGGCTCCTCTGCGGTGATTCTCATTGGAGATGCTCATTGAGCTGTTTCCCCGCCCTTTCAGACTGCCAGCTGATGATCGGCTCACAGCGGCCCCAGCAACATCTAGCTGATTGGCTCCTTTGCGGTGATGCTCATTGGGCTGTTTCCCTGCCCTTTCACCACAGAGCTGCTCATTGGGGGACTTTTTTGGCTCCGCCCACACGACCCAGCGAATAGGCCTCAAGAGCAGGAGGATGGGGGAAGGTGGTGAGGCTTGTGTTTGAGAGAGAGGGTTGTGGGAAGCCGGTGGTGGCAGTTGGGGCTCTGAGGGTTTTTCCTGAGGAGCTGTTTTGTTTGGCGTGTGTGGTTCTAAAAATAAAGTTAGTTTCTTTTGACAAGTGGCTCCTGATTGTGCCCAGCCAGACTGCGGCAGCGGATCTTTCTTTGTGACAGTAAGAAAGGAAGAGATTTTTCTTGTCACCATAGGGCAGTGGCATTTCACTCTGAGCTCAGTGACATTTTCTAGGAAGGGTGGAAATCATCAACTCCAGCTTTCCTGTCACCACCTGCTGGTAGTAGGTTTTGTTTTAATACTACCTACAGTTGTACTTCAAGAAAACTCCTTGACTCCCCTCCCCATGGAGGGTGCCTGGAGTAGATGACATGAATTGTGTCTATGTCTGTACCATCTCATACATCTGGGTCATGGCCAACCATTCTGAATACTACCTTCTGCTTTGGGATTTTCTGGTAGTTTTTTTTTTTTTAACCATTTGGAAATGGAACAAGCAGGATGCCAATATTTAGCAATCTGATTGCAAAAGTATCTGGAACTGCTTAAGTGGCAAAGACCAGGCCTGTGCTCCATGTTACCAGCCAACTTCAGTAGGTGAATCTGGCCATAGTATATATTATTAGTTATTTGCAATTAGTAGTGTTTTACTTTTCTCTTCATATCTCCCTTAAGCTACTTATTACCCTCTGTGACACTTCTTTCAGCACAACCATCTTGTCACTAATGTTATTTATGTACATGCATAAATTACATCAAACAAAGCTGCTCTTGATGCTATTTTAACCAGATTCACCCATTACAAAATATTAAGTGAGACAGATGGAGTAGTCCAAAAATGCTCATTTATCGTAGGCCCTATTCCTATCCCCTGTCCCAACCACAAGAGACATCTCTGTTGCCTGAGATTGGTCATTACAAAATATGATGGTCTGTGATCAAGACTTATTCAGTAAGTTAATAAGAACCTTCAGAGCTGGGCACAATGGTGCACGCCTGTAATCCCAGCAACTCCCAGCAACTCAGGAGGCTGAGGCAGGAGAAATGCAAGTTTGAGGCCCTAAGCAACTTAGTGAGACCTGTCTTAAAATAAAAACTAAAAAGGGCTGGGGTTCAATCCCCATGCCAAAAAGAAGAAAGAAAAAGAGCCTTCAGTTTCATTGGCTGCTGTGCAGCACTCACTCTAATGCTGACAAAAAGTGAACAGCATGTGCCTCACTGAGCTCCAGCTGCTGAGTGGCTTCAGGAGAGCCTAAATACATAGGATTGGTTTGGTCATCTCCAGTAGGGTGGCAGCATCTGGAGTCATCATCTCAGATGAATGGACTTCTCTGCGGCAGAAGACAGCCTTGCAAATGAAGACAGTCATTCAAGTAAACCTAGCATTGAAAAAATAGCAGGCAAGGTTAGAGAGGGCTGTTGCCCATCATCAAACTGCCAAAGAGGGCAGGTGGTCTCCCTGCCTACCCCCAGCCACCTGAGACCAACCTCCAATTCTCAAAGCACAGAGAAAAAGACAGTACTTCACATACTGCACTATGAATTTTAACCCTCTAAGTAGATCTGATAACCAATTTCTATGCATTGATATGACTAACCAGATGTTAAGATATTAGAAATATTTCTGTTCTAGTTGGTAAATAGCTGCCACTCCAGCTGCTTCCTATAGGACACCGCCAGACCTCTCCACTATCCAGCAAGTAAAAGGTAATGTCTGGAACAGCAGATAATATGCAGGACCCTGCTCCAGTACTGCAGCTGGCATACATTCAAATTGATTGGTTTCTTAGTCTAAATATCATTGTAGTAAGCAGAAACTTCAATCACTCCCCTTCCATTTCTCACCTAATAGTCAGGACTATGAATATCATGAAATATCACACTTGCAATTATGTTTCATGACATGGCCAAAGGAATTTTGCAGATGTATTGTTACTAATCAGGGAGATTATCCAGGTGGGTCTAATCAAATCACATGAGTCCTTTAAGAATGGTTTTCTGTAACTGATAGCCAAAAAGGATATTAGGGATCTGGAGCACAAGGAAGAGTTGATCTGTCATTGCTGTCTTGACCATGGAAGGGTCCATGTGGTAAGAAATTCAGGTGCCTCTAGAAGATGTGAGTGACCCCAGTCTGACAGACTGCAAAAAAAGTAGAGACCTTAGTCCTACAACTGCACAGAAATGAATTCTGTAAACATCATAAATGAACTTGGAAGCAGTTTCTTCTCTAGAGCCTTCAGATCAGAGTACAGCCACCCCGATACCTTGGTTTTAGCCTTGTGAAAACCAGTGTGACTGGAACAGAGTAAACAAAGGGAGAGAAGTAGAAGAGGAAGTCAGGAAGGTAATGGGAGTAAGGGACAGATCATGTAGGCCATTATAGACCATTGTAAGGACTCCGGCTTCTACTCTTGTGAGGTATAAGGAGCCCTGGGAGGATTTTGAGCAGAAAATATATATGATCTAGCTTGCATGTTAATAAGATTTCTGTGTTGAAAAGAGGGTAGACTGAAGCAGGGTAGGGACAAAGACAGAGAAATCAATTGTGAGATCATTGAATTGACCCAAAGAAGAGCTGGTGGTGGATTAGACCCAGTGGTTGTTGTGGCAGCTATGAAAAGTGATCAGCTCTTAGATATGCTGCTAGATTAGTTGTAAGGGTGAGTTAAATACAGGAGTCAAGGATGAGACCAAGTTTTTTTTGGCCAACTGGAAGGGTGGAGTTGCACATTACTGAGATGGGAAAGAGTGGGAAAGGAGTAGGCTCAGTGCAGGGGAATAAGGGCAGAGATCCAGAATTGAGTTTTAGACTAATGAAGTTAGAGATGCTCATTAGCCATCAGAAGGAAGATGTTGAGTAGACAGTGGTCTACAAGCCTAGAGGAGCAATCCAGACTGGAGACAAAGATTTAGGAGTCACCAGTATAGGCATGGATGAGATCACTAAGGGAGTAAGTGTGGCTAGATAAGTAAAGATAGAAGGGAGACCAGTAGAGTTGAGGAATGGGAACATGGAAAGGGTGGAGGGGAGGGAATTGGGAAGCAATGCGAAATGAAATTGACCAAATTATGCTATGCCAATATATGAATATGAGGCAGTGAATCCCACTATTAGGTATAATTATAATGCAGCAACAAAAAGAAAAAAAGTGAAGAGATGGGAAAATAAGGCCCAAGAGACACTGATATCTATAGGTTAGAAAATGAGGATAGATCACTCAGAGACTGAGAAAGAATACCCAGAGAGAGGACAAAAAGCAGGATAATGTACTATATTGTGATACTATATTCTTTTCAGTATACTAGTAAATGAGACAATCTGGCTTTGAATTGAGGTAGACTAACCC